ATCCATCCATCCATCCACCCTGTCCAAGAATGTGATGACTACTTTAGAATCCATTCAATCCACGCTGCTGCATTGTACATTCGCTTCACTTCACTTCAAATGCTTCTCACTTTTCATTTCTTCATGTCCACGCTTCTCTGTGCTGCTGATGCGTTATTGTGAATTTCTCGCATATTCAATTTTATGCAGCAATTTATTCCAATTTCAATTCATCTTTATTGAGGCAAGAACGATTTGATGTAATCCAGCCTTTTGTGGCATACACACATGAACAAAGGGAAAGGAAAACAGAGGCGACCATCGACACTTCAGTATTTGTGAGAAAGAACATCACGTATCATTCCATATCAGATCTTCCTTCAGTTTTTCATTCTTCGCTTTCCGTTTCGAATTCTCTCAAACATCCATCATTGCGTTGGCGGTTATGTGCACTGCAAATAGGCGGTTTGTGTTCTGATGTTGGAGGTTCCGTCGTTAAGGAGTTTTATGGCTCAGGTCCGAGAGGAATTTTTTGAAATCCATGCTTCGTTAATTCACCATATCGCGAGTGCATGGCGACTTCCCACTGATTTTTGCTCTGACAATATAGATCAAAGTTATTTTGTGGATTTCCCAAAACCACCTCATAAATCCGAGTTATATTTTTCGGAAATGGCACAATTCATCAGATAAATTCATATAATGCAACAATATTTCGGACCCTCCTGAAGGACAATACCCACTCCAGTCATGTTTTACACGAACACAAAATCAAAAGGATTGTGAACGAATAGAAGAGACATGAATTCAATCGAGCGTCATATGAATAAGAAGTACTGAATGAACAAACACTGAAAAATTCCCATCTGAAATAGGCAAAAAGGACCAAATAGGCCAGGAAATTCAGTTGAGAGGTGTTTTGAGATGGATGAAGAGATCTGAGAAAACCGTTCATAACTGACAAAGAGTATTTCATATGAATCCAAGCAGTTCGAGAATCACAGAGGTTGTAGGAATCTAACAAGCAAGAAAAGCTGAGGATTCAAATCCTCAAAGAATGAGCATTACATGAGCCATTCAAGTTTGTTTCTTGCTGTCATGATGGTTTTATCTTTATTCCAGCTCTGTGTTTCTCTGAAACATCATCGCAAAACGTTGGGTCTTATGAATGTAATATTTCGTAATATGAACGAATTGTAAACAAGTTCAACTGGAACACTTCATCATTCCATTCACTCTTCACAAAAAACTTACGAACACAAAACACACATTTTACTCCTTGAACAACAACAGCAAATAAGAGCACTTCTATTGTACATTGCCCACATAATCGCAACAGATACATAACACTCTGAATATCCGAAAAATGAAACAAAATGGTGGAATAAATTAGGTGAAATAAGTGAAATTTAATGGCTTCCTGCTAGAGCTGGGATAAATAATCCCTCAAAACGCTAAGAACGAACAAGTGGATTCCGTTTGATCACCCCACAACTTCGCTTGATCTACGACAATAAGATCAGCAGTTTTTACGCTCAAGAGATGAATCTTTTCGATTCATAAGCAACCTCAAAATAATTCAAATTTACTGCTGAGAATTAATGAGAACTGATGACACGACGCAACTATGGCAAATAGAAATAATCTCCCTTGGTGAATTTCGAATTCGGTGCTATACAATTACGTTCTGCACGTGTATATCGAGCATTCGTCAAAACAATAACAAAGTCTCCATCGGAATGTACAAATTCAAATTCGCCTTCTGATGCCACGCAGTCCATATCTCTGAAATAACAGACTTCAATGAAACTACACTGCAAGCACATTAATGTTCACGAAAGCAATCAAATTCGATAAATCCAATCCATATGAGATAATAATGAATGTTTTGAATCAAAACTCAACAACCCAAGTGTTGTGCCCATTGATGTAAGGAATTAACATCAAATTAGGTTAAAAGGTGTTCAGAACTGCAGATTTGAGAACACAAACCTATTCAGTCGGGAATAGCAAACATGCGGCGTCATACACCTGGAAACCCTCAAACGCATATGCTCTCGGTTGATCGCAATCACGCAATCGTCAAAGTCTGCGAATGATTCTGTCGATGATTTATTCAGCTTTTCACTTGCAATTTTCGCCAGTACCGTTTGCAGTCTGTTTTCAAAAGCCCTTCAATGCACATCATCAGTTTATTCAGTTGCAGAATCGGTCATAAATGCAAATCGATGATTAGATACAATCGAAATCATGGCCTGCTGGCTAATGCACGGCAACATCAATCACATAGGTACACACACACACATCACTCGGTTTCTAGCAAAATTTTCCTTCCTTCTGTCCACAGGGAGAAGTTTTGTTCGACAGCGAATGGTTCGACAACCGATGTCATCGATCAAATACAATGAAACCGAATGAAGGTTTCGATAAATGAGCAAGATGCGCCCTTGATTGTGAGATGCACTTCTCGTGAAAATTTCTGATACCGAAACTCTTTCGGTAGCCGGACAATTCGCTTAAAGACGTTTTGCCTAAGGACAGCTTTAATGGATATTTTGCCTAATAGGCGAATTGTCCTTAGGCAAACTGCCTTAAGGCAAAACGTTTTTAGGCAAATTCTTTCATCGTCATTATTCAGCAAATTGTGACCGTTAAAAATTCTGCAATGAGAGCCGAGATTAGCATCACCGTACGCATTTGAGAGAGGCTCATATCAATGATCTGTTGATGCAATGGTAACATTATAATCGCTCAGCATACCTGTTCAAATTATCCACAAGATTGTTCATGTCAATTCGTGCACCATGTTCCACATCTCTGTACGAATGTCTCAAGTGGTAGAAATGAGCCATATGGCACGGTACCCGTACCTGTAATTGTTTACAGTTTCTCACTACATGACTGCATTTCTTCAAAAAAAATTTTTTTTCAATGGGAGTACCGAAAAAATCGCTGATTATAACTGAAGTCGGTGACTGATTCAAAAAAGATCTGGACGAATCTGGACCAAAAAATCGTAGAAAATAAAATTGAACATTCAGATTCGGATTTTGCACATCCGAATCACTCCAAATCCTCCACTCAAACTTGAAAACTGAAGTTATTCGAATCACAAATGCCTAGCTAATGATGATTTCCTGTGGGCAAATGATTGGTTGATCGCTGTTGATCAAAATCGGACCAATTGATTGGAATATCGATAAGATCAAGTGTGTTTCAGCACCTCATTGAAGATGCTCAATACTAACCTGAACGTATCCAAACCTGTGGATTCCAGTTTCGTGCATATTCACACTATCTACTCGACCTACAAATTAAACTCTACAAATAGGCATTGAGTTCTCATTGAAAGTGAATCGGTTACATCGTAAATACATTTTCTGTTGACGAGAAGTCGAATAGCGTGAAGGTTGAGCCCGGCAAGTGGGTGGAAATCAAATTAATACATAGGGCTCTGCTCAACTTACTCGCATTCACTGCCACACGCGTTTTCATTCGTGCAAGAGCACAGTTCTTCTTCCATTTTGTTTCTCTGAGAAAGTCGAAATTGAAATTTCGAAGTTCGCTATGATCCTCTTCTTTCGGCAGTTTCAACTGAACGTCTGCTTGTTCGAAGAGCAGTGATCCAGCTTGAGGATGCTCTCTCATAATTCTCTGCAATGTGCAAGAAGAAATTATGGTAAGTTTCCGAATAGCGTGAGGCTTGGAATTTTTTGCGGCATTATTCGTCAGAAGTTGGTTGGTTTCACTCCAAAGACTGATCGAAGAGATGAGCATTTGCATTTGGAAGTGAATTTGCACCTGAAGAATTTGAATATTCGCTCTCGGTTGAACATTCATAGGATTGATTGGTATCAACATATCATCTAAATCCGTGAACACCACCATATCGGCCCACGGTTTCACGAAGAAGAGACAATTCACATGAGATTCTTCAATACCTTGAAAACTTCAACTTTTCACTGAATATGATAAAATTTCACACATACAATAAGTATAGAACTGCTAGAATGATTGGAAACCTAAAAACGCATCTGAACATAATTCTTCAGAGGATTTCAAGCTGGCCCGAAGATTCTTGTAAGGATACGTCTGACTATTAAGTTGTGAGCAATCGTTGTGGTCAGCTGATTATTCTAAAGACAGTTTTAGATGTATAGTATGGGAAAATGAAAACTTGATATCAAATTATATTTAACGTCGATACCATAAATTGTGTGTCACTGCTAGAGAGCAATCAAATTAGATGATTCGGCTTAAATTCTCACCTCTGGATAGTACAAGTCCGTTGGGATTAACGTCTGACAGAATAGGCCATTTGGGCCAATGGCGCAGGATCACGATTCCTGAATCCAGCAGAACTTTGGTTTATGGAACTTCAATTTCATTCCTCCTACCATCATTGTTTTAATTATCATTGTTATCATCACATTATCAATATCAATATCTAAAATATGTGTATCATTTAGCATCTCATTCTATATTTCTCTCGTTTCTCGAACTCTTTCCCATTTTCATTCTCTGTTTCTCGCTGCATCCATCACTCCGCTATGTAATAGAGCGAACTAGCTGGAGACAATAACAATTTACAATTAAGATTCTATGAGTATTTGATATTCCTATTGACGTCATCCGCAGGATTATGCTTCAAAGTATCCTACTTAGTCAGCAAAGCTTACAATAAAGTAAAAGTAAGCAGAACGAACTCATACCACGGAATCAAATTGAAAACTCGAATTGAAGTTGATCAAGTCCATTCGAACTTACCAGCTCGCTCGTATTCCTTCAGGATAGTCAACGTATTCGTCGATGCAGACTGTATTGGAATAACAATCTTCGTCGCACCTAAGTACAACCAATTTTCGATGCCCAATAGCATTATCTGCCAGTCCGTATACGTGTACATTGGTGCCATACAAACCACCAATTCATGACGACGCTCAATCCCGTCTCGAAATGGTGCTTCAATAAAGACTCTGACTGATTCGCTCAGCTTAGTCGTTGTGCTGACCCTAAATTCTCGATTTGAATTTAGTTGAATTGAGCTGCCATTATCGCTGACAATAAAATAATTACTGATTGTAGGATTGTTTTGATCTCTGTCGTTACCACTTGGTAATTGTATTGTTACCATCGTTGTTATAACGATGATAATCATTTTTAACTTTATCACTGATATCATTATCATCAGTATCGTTGAAATTATTATTATTATTATCATCACTAGTACGATAACTATTGGCAAGGCCGAAATTACTGTCAATGCTATAATACTGCCGGTGATCTGAGCACGTCAAAGCTTATTCTGTTACGGTTGCTCATTCAGGTAACGAACTTCTGCTCATTGCATATCAATGGATATTGCTACGGTGCTTATCAACATCAGTAATCCTGCCAATGAAAACATGAGTGACTCCGATCATTTCACTACTGCATAAATTTTCAGTTAGAAACAAAGACCGCTCTCAATATAGAGCGAGTCAAATAATTCTTAAGTATCGCATTGCCCTATTTTCTGCACTTAGCTTTTGATCGATTTACTTTTAAAAAATCAACGGGAGCATGGATGTTGTATTCTGATTGCAAGTGGTATTATTTAGACCTTATTTCAGCTGGATATATGTCACCGACTTGACATTCAGCGATATGACCAGCCCATGAGCATACATCATTCACACCACGCTTTCCTTGATGAATTCGCTCGATATGAGCGCGATCGATGAAAGTTTCACCGTTCGAGTCCTTCGAAATACAATACAACGAATGTGTTCTTCGTGAATCACCAATGAATTGCATCACCTTAAGTTTGTTTTTATTGTCCAAATGTTGAGCTGATCAACGTTTTAATGAGTAATCACCAGCAACTTATTACTAGCCAAATAGCGGGTGAATAACCAAAAACGGGTAATTTCACTCCCTATGAGAACCACTGTCCTAGATCGTAATCGAGTATGATTGCATGAAAAGGTATTATCTGTGACATGTTCACTTCCAACTGATTTAGATGAATTCTCATTCTTTTCAGACGTGTTGTATTCACTCTCATAGCTATTGCATGTGAATACCGTTCTCTTGATGAGTTTTTCTCATTCACTTCGTCTCATTTCATTTCACAGTTCGAATCAATTTCTCATTCTGTAGCATATACTGTTTACTTGAAACGTTGACGAGTTTTGACAGCCGAAATCAACAATACAGCAATCGAATATGATTGCTCAACG